GTATAACATGTGCTCTATCATAAGTTTGACTATATTTATTCTGAATCTCAATAGTCTTCTACATAAAATGAAAAAAGAGCAGAGTTTTGTTCGAAATAAGTTAGGTTAATCATATAGCAACAATGAATATTTTATCAGATGTTTATTTGTAGAATTTGAAAAGTAGCAAGTATATTGTCTGAGGATCTGTTGTAGGTTTATTTTGACAAATTATTAGCTTATGTCCTAAAATTGACACTATGTTAATAACAACTGTATAGTTTTCTTATATCTCTTATTGCTTTGTATTTAGAGAAGCTATATTATTGAAAAGTTGCTTATTGACCTGTGAAAATAGTGTAGTATTATACAGCAAAAGATCATGCGTAATTGATAGACAAATTGTACTTCTATCTAACGTTTTTTTAAGCTTTATTAGATATTATTTTCTTTAATTTTATAATAAAATTAATCATAAATAGTTAGTTATAAAAGCAAAATTTTATACTGAATGATAAAGATCTTTTTCTCTGGTATGAAGTGTTGATAGTAGCGAGAGAATCTATACTAGCATTTTTAATTGATTATTTCAACGCTAGAATATCGTTAGTTAATTAATAATAATCGCACAATCTCTCTTCAAATAATATTGTTTCAAGGAATAATGTCTTTCGTATTATTGATGAGATTCGTCGACAATCGTTTGATAGTAGGATGTCATTTTTCAAACACATGGAGACTTTTCATTTTATGTAGAAGACTATTGAGATTCAGAATAAATATAGTCAAACTTATGATAGAGCACATGTTATACAGGAATGATTTTAAGAGAGAGAGAAACGAAACAACATTCAACATAAATGAATAACTCTAGAAAGTTATCTTGATCACAGTCTCTTTCTTTAACAACTTGTTAGGTAGCATTTATTAATATTTTGTTGGAGAATACGAAATAACATATTGTTGATCAAAAATTCTATTCTTCTTTAACTACTACAATTAAACGTATGTCCTATCGCTTTCTAAGTCATGAAGTTTCATACTGATGTTCTTGAAATTTTTGTTATAAATATAACCGTTGTTGGAAAGTCACTAAAAATTTTAGAATTCAGTTGGTCTTCATGAATTAATGAAAGTGTATTCAATGGACATGAATGATGACAAAGATATGTTCCATGGGAAAAAAATGTATTTAAAACTAAAATGTATACAATAATCAATTATACATTTATAAAATATTTACATGATTTATAGATTGAATTCAATATTAATTCGAAGTAATGAAGTATTCACATTTATATGATCTACATATGTCTTTTGAATTTATTTTCGTCAATAAATATTTAACAAAAACATTATTAAATATACTCATTCAGTTTTAATTAAAAGGACTTGGAATATTTTATTTATTTGAGGAAAAAAAAAATGACATCAAATAATAAAATTAAAAATCTTTGAACTTTTCTCTTCGTATTTTATTAACAATTATAGTTATGAATCAAATAATAGTCTGATAAAATGTGAATATCACAGATTTCTGACAATTAAAAATTCATTTTTTTCCTTTCACCATTCACTTTTCCATTTAGGATGATAATAATCACGTTTTATCGTAATCTATCATTTGTCGTTTGGAAACCTAAAAGTAAGATATAAAAAAAAAATGTAATTTATCCAATTATCTATTATTAAACTCTAATTTTCTTACTTTGCCCATTATACATGCACTATTTGACGAAAAATAATTCATTAATTCAATATCACATGGTGTATACATGGGTGGATCTATTACTGCACGTCCAAAATAAAAAGTCATTAAACATTGTTCGGGTGGATAACTATCTGTATCACATAAACATTCAGAAGGTAAAATCGATTTTGTACAAAAACGTATTGTTGGAAATATACTACAGATCTGTGACAATTCCCATGGATGAACGACTGACATCGTGTGTGCTAATTCATGAGCTACTAGAGCAGCAATACTCAATGGATAGGGGCGATAATTGACAATTGATACACCTCAATAGAAAATAGTATGAATTAAAAACTTATTCCAAATTATTATTAAAAATATTTACCATTTGTTGTACATAGTGGAGCTTGAGAATAACCACCAGTGACTAGAGTAGTTTTATTCGCTATCAATAGACCATAGGCGTATTTTTTCCCAAATAAATTTGATTTGTTTGTGTTCAAATATGATTGCAATTGTTCGACGAATCCCGGCATTAATTGATCTGTATCATATAATACAAAAAAATTCTACCATGATGGTAGATAAAATATAACTTACTTGGATCTGATCCAAATTGATATGATATACGATCATAATTAATCCACATTTCAACACCAGCATTTATTAGTTGAATATTGGCATGAATAATGTATTTATTCACCCATGCTATTAGTTTATCGGCATAGAGTTGAGCACATGTAATATCATTGTTTAAATCTGATGATGCATCTTTATCAAACATAACCAAGACAGATATTGATCGTGGTTGATTTAAATTATACAATGGTTTTGATGTAAAATTTACTCTAAAATTGCCAATAAAATTTATACGTTGGATTATTTCCTGCTGTGTAGCAGCACGTTTAACGGCATCATCTTCTAAAAATAAACTATAAAAACAAAATAGAAAAAAATTTAAAGTCATCATTGCAAGTATCTACCTTTCTAGTGTAAAACTATTTATTATTCTTAGATATGAAAGACATAGAAGAAGAATAATCATCCAGTTCATGATGTTGTTAAAAGTGATATTTCTACAATGACTGTCGTTTATTACGAGACTAATATTTTAAAATTAAAGTTTTTGTCTGCAAATTCTTTTTTTACGTAAAATCGTGTCATGGGTAATTTGATACTTGATGAACTATAATAACTCTTTTTGTGCATACAACGTGTGCCATATGTTTATTAACAACAATAGAAATTGTCATTTAGTAACCTATACATGTTTGTAATGAAAAAAAAAATATACTGGAATAACCTCTGAGTGTATCACTAAATCTTAAACATCACAAATAAAAATGTGTATGACTATTCTCTAAAAGTATTTTACAAAACTTAAAACATGTTTCACCATCAAGAACGAATAAAAGTTTCATAATTTTTATCCAAAATTCCATAAAAAAATATTCATTGAAAAAGTTTGTCTAGTCTACTAAACGTTTTGTTAATTCTAGACTAATGGTAGGCTAGCGAGTACACAATTGACTTTCTACGAATTTGCTTTCCGTTGATTACATAAAAATATATTCTAATTAGACACTTTCTTGTATAGGGATGTCCTTTTCACTGATTATTTGGACGAAAAAAAAAACGAGCAAATTAATACTCATTGCGATAATCAATAAATTTACAAACATTCATTAATAATGGAACGATTAACTAAATGTTTAATTGGGGACGAGCAGTGCTGTTTGTGAACTAAAATAGTCGTCAACATGATAATCTTTGTAAAAATGTATATAAAGGTAGAGATACATAACTCTGTCTCACACTGGTAATATTCAGAAAAATATGTCCAAATTCCAGTTAGTTATCAGGTTACAAACGATTATAATTGATTTTGAATTAGGTGTTTCCAATGTATTTACTAAATATTATCTAAGTGTTATGACGTTCTTTATTTCATTATGGACAAAGCCTGTTTTAATCTCGTTTATTGATGTTAGAATAGAAAATCCAAAACGTACAAGCAACAAAAGCGGATCGAGGATTCATACACATGTGGTCACTGTAAAAAAGAAAACAAACACTTGACTGTTATAGATTCGACTGCTATCCCATAATACTACAAGAAAAGTCTATTTCGTAAGTTTGTTGATCTTAGTTTAAAAACAGCATACAAAAAGCGTACAACGTTGATGAAAATCTTCTTGATTGGTTCAAATCTTTCGCAGCATTATCGTTAATACCATTAAAACATATGTTATGGGGGCTTACAGTGTCTAATTCGTATTTCACTGGATTATCCACGTATTCAAGAATTTCTTGATTATTATCATCTATTCAATCGATTTCCACCACATATGTATAATCATTATTGTAATATAACACTGCGAACAATTAATTATTTGTACGGTCGACATTCTTGAATTGAATAAAAAAGCATGTAAATTCTCCACATTCAAATTTTACGTTGTTATTGATTTACTACAAAAGGAACAATCATTAGTATCGATTGCAAGAGTGCGAGATGATATGGAAGCTCCAACTTCAAAATATCGAAGAAAGATTTCTATTTTATTTTTATGTCGGGATACTCCTTTTTGGGATCTCTGAGTGACAAATTCAGATATCATCTGTTTTTTGATTCTGTAGAATCAGAAATGTCCTCAAGGAAGAAAATGTCCTAAAAAACTCAAAATATATACTAAAATATCAGAATTGAACTCAAGTGAAATTGACCTCCGTATTGATATTCGACAGTTTGTGTTGTCCATTACGATCCAAATTTTTAAATAGACGCTTTAGTTAATTCTTTTAGTGATTTAAGATAAACAGGCATTTCTCAAAGAAACCTCAACAAAAATGTCTAATTCTGGCTGCACCATGGAATGATATGATGTGTTAAAAGACACTTATAAAGTACGGTGACAGGAAGATGACGTGCACATAGACACCTCTGTGAATGTGATGCACGACGGCATCATATTACTATGATCTGTTATCACACAAACTATGACCTGAAATATGTGTTATTAACAAGTGTCTTACAGCAGGACATATTCAATATTGCCTCGAGCAGAAGACACAATTATTGTTGAATCAAAGGCTCTTAGATTTGAGCATATTATAATGTTGAGAGTATTTTTTTACGTCTTCATCGGTTGAGCAAGATTTTCTCTAGGATTCGTACCGCACTATTCATCTTTCACACAAATTGGCATCTATATGATGTTGATGATGATATTGTTAAATTTTGAAGTATTCAGTTTTTTATGGAATTAAGTTGAGTGCAAATTATACATGCACACATTCTGTGTGATGATAGGTAAACGAAATCGATACAATTTTCTCTCTATTCATTTCCGTAAAAAATTGTTCTTTTATGCGTATTGAAGGCAAACAGATCACGAACATATATTTCTATTAGTAAAATACTTTATGTGCTAAGAGACAGGAAAATTGAATTAAAAATCTATTTGTGAAATTTTCACAAGTACAAGTCGTGTTTAAAAAGCGTTAAAATTCAAGAATGGCAGCTAAAGTTGGCGATATTGACCATGAAGATAATATATTAACAACAAAATTAAAATTAACTCGAAATGAGTATAATGCAACAATTCGAAATAAATTAGAATATAATCGTTTAAGAGTAATTGTTAAATATATTAATGAACAAAGTGATTCAGCAGCATCAAAACAACGAACAACGACTCATAATCTTAAAAGATGGTTAAATGATAATCAAACAGTTGTATGCAATACTGACGAATTTTTCTTCAATAGAAAGGTATTTATTCTATCTCATTGTGCTTGACACAATCACTGAACTTTGCTAGAAATATGAAATATTTTTACTAATTTTAATTCTAAAGATCAAATCTCACTCTTCTTAGCCAAAAGAGTATGAATCATCGTTTAATTCATTGGTAGAAATAAGAAGTTTGATTCTCATTCTCAGTTTTTAGAAAATTACTTATTTGAGCGAATAAATTCCAGTTTGACGTGTGTCTTTCTAGCCGAGAACTCTCGATAAAAATAAGCTTTTTTCTTTGAAAAGAAGATGACACTTTTTACAAAAATGTCAGAAGATCAAATACTATGAAGTGGAAAAAAGTTGAACTAATAAGGGATAACGCTATTTCAAGAGAAATATGGTAACTATCATCATATAAAAGCCAATAGGAAAAATGTTTTTGACGACTCGTTCATACCTTTTTCTATAAAAACTATTTTCTTTTCCATTATTTTTCACTTATTTTAAAAATAAAATTTTTTCTATAGACTTAGTAGTCTAACATTTCCATTATTATTCTTTTTTTTTTCTAAACAAATCATTATTGTCCCCATTCAGAGATTTTATCTTAGAAAATGAGTCGATTATTGAGTGATAATAAAAAAAAATTACTAACACCATGAGGGAGAAAAGTTTGTAAAAGTTGCATACAAAACTATATTATTTACGTCTAGAATTTCTAGCTTATTTATTATCCTTATATACTCTCATTTCTCCATCTTTCGATCGTATACTCTTTGCATAATTCAATTCACTTACTAACTTTTTCATCAATGTAATTTATTTTATTTATCAAAAAAATATTTAATTTAATAAATTTAATAAATATTTAATAAATAATTAAATTAAAGCACGTTAGAAAAGTGTTTATACTTTAGAAAAGAACGATTAATAGATTTGATCTAATTTTTCTGATCTTTAATTTTTCTTATTTTTAATTATGAATTCTGAAAAATGTTTTGAATTTATGGTATTGGGACGAAAAACTTTACGTTTAAAAAATCCACAAGTTAATATTCGTATTATTGAAATATTCAATGAACGAAAAACTATTTATAAAAATAGAGTAGAATCAAATAAATGTAAAAATTTATTAAATAAGATAAATATAAAATATGAGCAAAACGTAGCTCATGCAGCTGTAAAAGAACAAGAATTTATAAAGAAAGTACGAAAAGAGAAGAGTGAACAAATTGAACATTTTGATATTTCAGAAAAAGAATTTTATCGATTTGGCGTACGAGTAAGTCTGATCTGCACCGTTCTAAGCATTTTAAAATATTCACATTCATCAAAGAATAAATTTGTATTGTATTTTTTGTAGGTAAATTCATTTAATCCTCCTGTTCCTCGTCAACGTCCAATTAGCATCAATGCGGGTGCTCGTCCCAATCGTGTTCAATCTGCCGGATCCGCATTGTTAAAACGGCCATCAACCGCTCCAATAAAAATGTATAACGGTGAATTGAGTGACGAAGATACAAGTGATGACGAAATAACTCGTTCTCGTATTCAATCAACTACTCTTAATTCACGTATAACATCCAGTGTGCATTCAACACCTACTGTACTCTCGCATCATCCACAATCTTCTTTAGAACGAGATTATTATGACGATAACAAATCAACCACTGATCATTCAAATACAAAAATATCGTGGCCAGTTAGATTACGCGTCTTTGCTCTGCAAGATGAAGATGAAGCAAGAAAACAATGGTTAGCATGGAAAGCAGAACAACGAAAGGCTAAACGACGTAATAGTAAACAGTTTTTGGATGTCGAACTTGAACGTCAATATCGTGAATCAATTCGTCGTCGTCAAGAAATTGAAGCGTTTCTTACGCCAGAAATAATTGAAAATGCAAAACTAAATGATCCTATATTTGCTAAACGTTATAGACAACTGAAATTAGCTGTGAAAGCTGGAAAATTACCGGCATATGATCGAAACGATACAGAAATAAATTTAACAATGACAAAGTCAAAAATAGAACGTGCACGAACAGCATTAATATCAGCTAAACAATCAAAAATCAAAAATATTTATCGAGCGCAACAAATAAATAATGATAAAAATTTATCGAGACGAATCGAATTTTTTTTGAAAAATTTAGAAAACTTCAGAAATGAACAAACAGTGTAGAAAGTATTTTAGCTTTAATCGCATGTTTTCATGTATACATCACATCATAGAACGAAATGAAGTCACTATTACTCGACTTGGTCTATTTTTGTCTCTAACGTAGTTACATTTCTCACAGAAGATTTAAATAAGACAGAAACAGTTAGAGATTCATAATTAATTATCAAATCAGACACGAAAGTGCGAGCGTGAATGGATAAATTCTATGATTTTGTTCTGTTTCTCTATTCAGAGAATAGTCATCAACATACAATAATCAGCGATATACCTCAACCAGTAAAAGGGATCCTTTTCTAAACAATGGACATGTACAACTCAAGGGCATCAACATGTACAACTCGTGTATATGTGTACAACTAGTACAAAAAATGGAAAAATTTTCTAAATAATTTGCGTATATTTTTTATATACACTGTTCGAAAAACTGTCGAGGGAACCTTTCGAGGTGATTAAACGCTTTTTGCTCGGAATCTAGCGGGTTATAGGTTATCAGCCATGCTGATTAAGAATATGACCACAGGAGTTGCCCTTAGCCCTTCGAAGACCTGATTTTCTAGAAAACCAGTTTTTCAGAAACCCTCGTTAGTTAAAGCTAATCGAATAGTTATAAAAATAGCTTGACATGTGTAACTTGATGTGCTCTATAAAATGACTGATGTGAAAATTCCAAATTTGATTGAAAAATTTCATAGTCTCATTTTCTGGAAACCACACTTGGTTTTCCAGGGGATTTTAAAAGAACCCAGAAATCCTGTCATGAGTCATGATAGTATACATAGTGTACTCCAACAGTAACACAGAAAGTGAGAGTTTTGCTCCATTTTCCGAGAGAAAATCTTTCTCCAAAATGACCCGATCGATGATCCGGGCTCTCACGGCATCATCTACTGTAAAAGAACGAAAGCATGTCTGAAGTTCGCGGTTGTGTGAATTTGTGGTAGACACTATCTAGTAGTTATGATAGAATTCGTAAGTGTAAGTAATGTGTCGTTACTGACCTGTACGTAGTTTAAATTGACAGTTTCCTTAGATGCTGAAATTTGTGCGTTTTCAGGCTCTTTGCAAAAAATTGAATATCTCAGCAACGCAACAACTTTAGGACCTGTGGTTTTCGGCAAAATTCATGAAACTGTTTACTCCAAAGAAGCTCTTACTATGGAAAAAATCTGAAATGGTCGATTGAGCACGTTAGGTCGTGGCTTATCTTTAATGGCTCATAAAAACTATTCAATATAGTCTTATTGAGTTATTCCTGCGGATGACTATTTCTTGTTGTCACACAAAAATACTGTTTGTGTGTGCTTTATGTTTGTGTGTGCTTTATGAGATATCTGCAGTCCCTATCATTGCAAAGTTCATGAAGCAAATATTTAGCTATAATATGCAAACGTTTGAATAATATCGAATTGGAAACAATGTAACGAACTTGCAGTTTTACACGACAAGTATACGTGAACTTGTAGTTGCAAGTAAATTTACTAGTGAAAAGCGAAGTATTTGTTCAAGTACTTGAGCAGAGAGGTATATTCACTAAGGCATTCCGTTGTAAAAATTGCTACGTATTTAAAGTTTATCTTTATGTATAGATGTGTCTTGAATAATATACTATCTCTTTTTGATATGGTTTGTAACCATCATCGCTTCTTGAAATATATTTTTATGTCAAAACAAGAGAGATTAAAAAACAACATGTAGTGAAAGATAAAACAAGAATATAAATCTGTACAATAATAACGTTGCACCGGCTAATTTTACTTATTAATATGTAACACTGCTTTTTGATTCTATCGTGTATCAGTGATATTTGGTTCACTTTCAGCACGTTTATTTCGACACTCTACTGTTGAATATTCAAAAGCCTGCCGTAATTGACAAATATCATTGTAGATTTTTGTAAACTTTTCAACTAAATAAATATCATCTTGTCGCATCCGAACCTGAAGAAATAAAACTAACATTCACAGTAGTATCAAAATAGTATTAGATCGAATACTACTTTCTACTCTTCTCACATTCTCATATACACAATGTATAATTGGAAATTAATCAATGAGAAAATAGTTGATATACACCTGATTGATTATGAAGAATCGTACTACTGAATACCAAATTAAAATGTTTTTCTCCTGAGTGAGTAAGAGAGCAGAGCGGAGTTAAGAGCAGTATCGAAGGACAATCGAAAATACATGGAAAATGTCGAAAATGATACTGTTTGTGTTAAAAGAGTAAGATTCAAATTGAACTCTCTCAAAATGTGCATCATTCCGCGAGCTCCTAGTTAACTTTTACTATATAAGATGAATAAGTGTAAATTGATAAATGAAAAACTGATTGATGTCATACTTACTAATAAATCGTAGATTTTAATTACAATATCGTTTGAGTGTTCGTGAAAATCATCACCAAATAATACTGATGTTGTATTCATGTCTTGATATTTACTCATATCACATTATCAGTGAAACATATTTATAGCACAAATTTATTATGTATAGTTCTTCGTTCTTATACTCAATGTTGTTGATCTGAAAAACACCTTACTCTCTGTTATACGAAGATAATCATAGCATAGTATCATTCTGACTCATTAACACTCTTTAGTATTATTGTTCGACAAAAGAAGAAAGAATCTCCACTTTATTTCTCGCCTCTTGAGATCTACTTTGTCTATACTCTTTCAAATAATGTACACATCAGACACATTATATCCTAACATATTATTATGTTGAAGAATTTGCATGTCTTGAAGCAGGAAATAAAGAAAACTCAATAATAATATGTTATCTATATGAATTATGTCTGTCAATCATTAGACATCATTTTCAATCTGCATTCATAAAAACGTCTGTTTGTATTTTCTTAATTTATTTATTATTTTATGCTACTGTAGCATAAAAATTATTTTTATAAAAATTTGATCTTATTTTGTATTCTATTTTTCTCCAATTAAAATTGTATTTCACAAACTTTTACTTTACGATTTAACGATGCAGAATTTAAAATTACATTAACGATGCAGAATTTAAAATTACATATTTAATTTTAGAATAAAATTCAAATTCACAGTGTAACTTTCGAAACATAGAAGCTATATAACTACTGCATATCAGTTATTTCAAATTTAATGCACAGTACTAACTGTAGCTCCTGGAACTTTGAGAGTTGAGCGCTACATGGGGTTGAAATACAATGTAAGTTAGGCACCTGAAGTTTTTATTAAAATTAGATTTAGATATAAATAGTCATTTTATTTTCTTATTACTCTTCATCGTACTCACATGCACCAGTTGTTCGTCATCAAGAATAACTACACAATTGTCTTAGTTCAACAGCCGTACTATACAACGTTTTCATTATATGATAACAAAAGTAGAGTAAGAATATGAGAAATAGAAAGTTTTTTTGTTTGTAACATGTACAAATAAGAGCGATGGTATAAGCGACATGGGTGATTTCTGTAAAGTGGTTTATTTTAGTTAACTCGACATTTTGAACGTTTCAGAAAGAACGCTCAAAATGTCGAGCTGGGAGTTTATGTTGCAGGTGATCATTATTCATTATCTTAGTGCTTGTAGATTTTTGACATGCTTATGTGCATCTAGTCAAAGCAATAATAAACAAAACCTAATTTACGAAAACTAAAACATGAGAGTAGATTTTTCCTGTGTTACTCTAAAGATTAGGTACGAAATCATGTAAAAAGCGGTAAACGATGTCTAATATTTAACTTTTTTATTGTCTAAATTAATTTTGAAAATTTTCAGTTTCATTCAGAGTATAATGAAGATTTTGGTATTCATGAGGTTTTTTTCCGGTAAAATATTATAGTTGGAAGTAATAGTTTTAGCTAGTAGAGAAAATATTGTGATAAATATTAGAATTATCAAGATAATATAAATTTATTGAGCGCTGTAAAACACCCTTACGACATGCACTTTTATCCCGTTAGTTCTAATATTTATTATAATAAATACTATTATCAAAAAATATTATCATAAGTATATTTTATCCCGATAAAGTTCTATATTCTAAAACAAAATCTGTGATTTTAAATAGAATTGAACTTTGCATCGTTTGATCTTAAATTAACAGTTACAGTTGTCAAAACGTTATTCATTTCTAAAGCTGTTTTCAGTATATATTTTCATAGCAAAATGGACTGACAAAGCGGATGATGACACGAGTGTTAATGGTAAAACCTATCTGATAGTCAAAAACTATCATATTGTTGGAGACTTCATAATTAAAATTACTATAAAATAAAAGTTTATAACACATTTTCAATTGGAGAAAATTAATCTACAAAAGTAGTCAACTATTTTTGCGTCATTCGTCATTTAGCAATATAACGGGTGATAAACAAGAATATTTTCAATAAATAGTCTGTGTTGAGGGTCATAAACTTATACAGACTTAACTGCACATCGCCTGATAAAAATCTTTTTGGTCTTTTGTTCATTTTCTCACAGAGACAAAAGTTATCGCAGAATAGGTGACAGAAATTGATCGTTGATAAAAAATGTCTAGTTCGTTGTCAGAACAACTTGAATGAAAACAACAGCTGTTATAGTTGATACAGATCTTAGTGCTACTATAGTTTGTTGTCATTGTGCGTATAGTTAAAAACATAGATAACCATTCTGTTTTAATTGGTATAATTAATCTTATATCTAATTTATTTATTTATAACAAAAATTCGCAACTAGAAATATCCTTAAAATTGCACTGTTGAACGAAAAAAATAGAAAAGCGATTTACTTAGTATAAATATAAAAAGTAGTTAGAGATACACATATTTTATTTATATGCGTCTATAATTAAAATAAATTTTTATGATATTTCTCAGGTAAGCCGTCTAATAGCCCTCGCTTTGCAAGTTCTTCTTTTTTAAATAAACGATTGAAATATTTTTGTCCATTATCACAAATACACGTAACAACTGTGCTCCCTTTTCCCAACATTTTTCCTACCGTTACTGCTGCAGCTACGTTGAGACCAGAGGAAGCACCAACATACAAACCTTCTTCACATAATAGACGAAATGTCATATTAACCGTTTCTTGATCACTAACGAATAATGATTCGTCAATAGGTGCATCTTTTAAATTTTCTGTTATTCTTCCTTGCCCAATACCTAGAAACAAGTACAATAAAAGAAGAAATTCACACAGTTCAATATGTGTTCTGCAGTAAATGATCATCGAAAATGAACACCCATCCTTTTACTAGTAATTAAACCGCAACTTTGTTCGTAAGGCCAGCCTGACACAGAATTCTTTCAGCCGACTGCTTATGCTTCCCATATATATTTACTCAGTACATAGTCGCTTTCTGGCCAGAAGAGGAACTATGTTTTACGTCACAACCTATTAAGTACATGATAAACAGCATAATTGCTAAGGGTGCTTATAACATCGACCAGCAGTTAAGACTAAGAGAATGCAAATGATAAATGCTGGTTTGAAATAAAACTGAATACCTTCCGTGATAGAAGAACCATCCGTGCGATCGAGTTTTCCACTTTTAATGTAATGATAAAGGCTACTGCCAGGTGGATCAGCCAAAACAGTTCTAATATTTGAATTTTTTTCTTTTAAAAACATACTAACACCAGCCAATGTCCCAGCAGTACCTGTCGATAATACAACTGCATCTACTTTACCATTGGTCTGTCTCCATATCTCTGGACCAGTTGTTGCATAATGTCCCATTCGATTAGCTCTATTATCAAACTGATTTGTCCATAATGCATTATCTAATTTTTCGGCATATCGTCGTGCGTAATGATTATAATTTAGTGGGTCGGTAAATGGTACTACAGGAACCGTAGTTACTTCCGCACCTAACACTCGTAATATATCAATCTTTTCCTATTGCAAAAGTTGAAATGTTACGAAAAAACAACACCCCTTAGTTAAACTTTCAAACGAAAGGCTAACCAACAAAAATCTTACTTTTGACTGATTCTCTGGCATAAATATCACGCATTTAAATCCCATTGCATTACAAATATGTGCCAGTCCTATACCAGTATTTCCAGCTGTTCCTTCAACAATGGTGCCTCCAGGCTTTATCAAGTCTAAACTTGAATAAACAATATTTGTTAATTGTTGTGACCAAAAAATCAAGTAAACCTCCTACTTTTATCCAGTGCATCTTTGATTAGGAAATAAGCAGCTCGATCTTTTACACTGCCACCAGGATTTAGAAATTCTGCTTTGACAAGAATTTCACATCCTAGAACAAAAAAATTGTAGACAGAAATTGAAATACAATCATTACACAAAAAACATACCAGCGTCCTTGCTTATTCTTGGAAGTCTAATTAACGGTGTACTTAAATAGTGGAAAAACAGGACATGAAAGAAGAATAACTAATAAATTCAACTTACTTTCCAACAGTCTCTAGAAAACCATCAAGAATGTGTTTTTGAAATATCTAACGTAGAAATGCTCATTAATGATAATAGTACACGGTAAGAGAAACTTTGTACCTCAGACTTCAAACGAACAAAGGTTTTTGCACTTTGTTTTTCTAATGCGGATAAAAAAATTGATGAGGATAATCTAATTGGAAGCATTTTTTTCAATCTAGAAAAAAACATAGGATATTTCTCAGTTAACATATCCAACCAGTAGTTCGAGGGGTACTTCGAGTGTTTGAAAATATGCTTTCTGTGGGCCTTCGCCGAGGGCTCGAACTAGGGGTGTGACAGTTCAAGCTCGTGAACTGTGAGTAAATGTAGTAAAGAGCTGGTGACCATCTCCAGCTCCTACTCATGTGAGCTGTTAACCAGCTCCAGCTCCTACTCATGTGAGCTGTTAACCA